AATTGGATTTCAGAATTGCTATAGACCAACGACTCCTTTGTGTCTCCCATTTCCCCCCTTTTAAACTGGAATGCCTATAGCAGCTATCTTGTGCCTGTTCCATCATTGTATGTTGGGTGTGTTGGGGACAGATAATTTGTCTAAGTTTCATAGATCTATGGATGGAGAAAAATAGTACTTAAGGAGCCATACTTAAGGAATACACCCAAGGAGCCTTGTTCACCCCTGAGATTCTGGACTTTGAGGCAATGCTGAAATAGAATGAGGCTTTTACAGACCTTGGGAAGGAGTGAATGTATTTTGCATGTGGAAGGAATGTGAATCATTGGGGTCAGAGAATGAATGATAGTAGTCAGTTTCCAAGTTGGCCCCCAATGATCCTCACCTCCTGGTATTCACAGCCATGTGTAATCCCCTCCCCTTGAGTGAGCTCTGGACCTGGTGACTTGCTTCTAATAAGTAGAATATTGCAAAAGTGATGGGATGTCAAAGCGATTGGTCTGCTGTCCTGGACCACTGGGGTCCACGGGGCTGTGGCGGGGGCTGGAGTGGGAAGAGGGGATTGGGCCATCCAGAATGACTGCCCAGGTGAGGTCCCTGTGGGTTTTTGGCCCCCCATGTCACCCCGTGCTTCTTCGCACAGCACTTCTTTGTGGAACGAGCATGTTCCCGCTTTCCTGTTTCTTGTGCTGTGAGGAAACAGTGCCTGGCCCAGAGAACAACTCATAGGTGACCAGGGGGGTAGGGCAGGCCAGCCATGCTGGGCTTAGGAAGGTTAAGGTTAGGGTTAGGGCTAGGGTTAGAGGTTAGGGTTAGGGTTAGGGTTAGGATTAGGGTTAGGGATAGAGTTAGGGGTTAGGTTAGGGATAGGGTTAGACGTTAGGGTTTGGGTTAGGGCTTAGGGCTTAGGGTTAGGGTTAGAGTTTAGGGTTAGCATTAGGGTTAGGGTTAGAGCTTAGAGTTAGTGTTAGGGTTAGGGTTAGAGCTTAGGGTTAGGTTTTGAGGTTAGGATTAGGGTTAGAGCTTAGGGTTAGTCTTAGGGTTAGAGCGTTGAGCTTAGGGTTAGGGTTGGAGTTTAGAGTTAGGGTTAGGGTTAGAGGTTAGGATTAGGGTTAGAGTTTAGGGTTAGGCTTAGGGTCAGAGCGTAGAGCTTAGGGTTAGGGTTGGAGTTTAGAGTTAGGGTTAGGGTTAGAGTTTGAGGTTAGGTTGTGTTAGAGCTTAGGGTTAGCGTTAGTGTTAGGGTTGGAGCTTAAGGTTATGGTTATGGTTAGGGTTAGAGGTTAGGGGTAGAGCTTAGGGTTAGACTTAGGGTTAGAGCTTAGGGTTAGGGTTGGAGTTTAGAGTTAGGGTTAGGGTTAGAGTTTGAGGTTAGGTTTAGTGTTAGATCTTAGGTTTAGGATTAGGGTTAGAGCGTATGGTTAGTGTTAGGGTTAGAGGTTAAGGTTAGAGTTTGAGGTTAGGGTTAACATTAGGGTTAGAGTTAGGGTAAAAAACAAAGTGATTGGATCTCACTTCAGTGATTGGGTTATAAAAACTGTGACTTCCACCTTGCAGATGCACAATTAACTTCCCCCTCTCCCTCTCCTCTTTCTCTCTCCTCACTTGATTGGTCTGATGAAGCAAGCAGCCATATTATCAGGTGCCTTACGGAAAGGTCCACTTTATAACGAAACTGAGGGTGACCTCCCACCAACAGCTAGACAGAAACTGAGGTTCTCCGTCCAACAACCCACAAGGTACTGAATTCTGTGAGAGCCAGGTAACCTTGGATGCAGATCCTTCCCCAGTCAAGCCTTGAGATACACGACTACAGCACAGCTGACACCCTGAAATAGAATCCCAGCTACATTGTGCCCAGATTTGTGACCTCCAGGATCTGTGGGATACTCATTGTTTTGTGCCACTAAGGTTTTGAAGTAATCTGTTACACAGCAGTACATAAGGAGTATAGGCCAGCATGGAGGTTATGCACAAGTTCAACAATATGGACTTTTGCCTAACAAGGCCAATCTGGCTATAGCACCAGAGTTGCCACCTGCCACAGCACTGTGAAGGATTTCCTAGGGAGCAGGATGATTACCTTGAACCCCTTCTGTCATGCAGCACAGGCTGTAGGTTCACAGAGACTTGGTGGGAATCCCAGCTCTGCCAGGCTGATCTGCCTGGGCCAGGTCTGCTTTTTGAGGAGTCTGTTTCCTGCATGTCTGACAGGAACTTCATCAAGTATCTCATGCGGAACTTGGCACTCAGGAGGGCTTCACAAGGGGCTGCTCCCTTCCCTTTCCTGTAATCAGAGTGTCCCAGGAGCAGGGACCCTGTCTCTCTGCCTTGCAACCCCTCTTCAATCACAATTTCAGGACTTCCGGGAAGCATGGCCATTGTCTCCCCTTCAGGACTCCAGTGACCATAGGTCTCAGATCCTATAACCCACTCCCATGGGGGAGCACCCTTACCAATGAGCTTTATGCAATGAACAGAGTTCACATGCAGTGTGGGGTTCCAACTGCTCTGGTCTTCCCCTTCTTAGCCCAGACTCTGCAGGCCTGACTGGAAGTGGGGACAGAGGACGCAGGCCTTGCTTTCCCTGTAGCAGCTCCCACTATGGGGAGCTTGGGGATGGGAGAGACAGACCTGTTAACCCTAGTGTTTCAGATGCCACAAGACACAGTGGAGGCACTAGGGAGGGGGAAGGGAGGGGTTGGTTGGGCCTGAGAGAAGGCGTTGGGTTAGTTGGGTTAGTTGTTAGAAGTGATGTCTCTTCCCATCCCCTTATCACCTGTGGACTCAGGAGCTATACCGGGGGGGGGGGGGGGGGGGAGGAGGGGCGGGGGGGGTGTGCAACTTGGAAGAACATAGCAGCAAGGTAGTCTCTATGGTAGAAAATGACTGAAGGTACCCTCTGCTTCCCCGATCCTTTCTCCTCACCTCCCACTCATCTGCTCCCCGCCACGCCTACCCCAGGAGTCATTCGGGGAGTGTCTGGGAAAGAGGAACAGATCTGCAACCAGAGCAAGCTCTCTGGAAGGCGTCACATTTTTATTATTGATTTTAGAAACATCGACATGAGAAACATCAATTGGTTGCCTCCTATATGCGCCCTGAGGATCGACCCCACCTTTTGGTGTACAGGATGATGCTCCAACCGACTGAGCCAAATGGCCAGGGCTGGAAGGGGTCACATTTGATCTGGGTCTTGCACAATGGGGGCTAGGGCCTCTCCTGCAGAGCTCATGGCGTGCATATCCCGAGGCAAGGGCAGTGGTAAGATGGGAAAGTCTGGAAACTGCTGAGGGCCCAGCAGTGCTCCAGCCTGGGAACTGCTACAGGTTGTAGGCACCCTCTTCCTCCCGTCAGGCCACTTCTTGTTCCTGTCTCAGCTCTCATGCCTCTCTTCTGAAGTCATCTCCTCCAACCCTCTTTCAGGGTCAATCCCATATAGGTGGGCAGACAGAAGGGCAGCTTCCCCCCCCTGAATTGGGGCCTGGGGTCAAACTGGGTCCAGGACAGAATTGTCCAGGGGTCCCTGCTTCCCTTACTTGTCCAGCACAGGGCCTCCCAATTACAAGATGAAGGGAGGCAGCGCTGAGCCCAACCCTCCCATCAATCAAAGCTGCCAGAAGAGGTGGGCTTTCACCACCAGGTTCCTATGGAGACAAGTGGAGCAGAGAGCCCACTGAGCATTCCCACGAGAAAGGCCAGTGGCAGTGTGCCGGGCTCCTGGGCTAGACAGGCATCAATCTTTAGCCTTTAAGCCCTTGGTGCAGCGCCCAGCCCCCCAGGAGGAACAGCCCTTGTGGAAGCAGGCCCGACAGGAAGCTCGTGGGCTGCCCCCCTGAAGCAGCCCCATTGCTCTGGCTTCCTCTCCTGTATCTTCATGGGCAGAGTGAACACAGAATATTCAGGACCAGAGTCGTTCTTGCCTTTGGAGGGAAAAGGACCCCTTTATAAATGGGATGCAAGCTGGCTAGTCTCCTCGCCAGAAGAACATGCATGCAAAGCCCCACATAAACATGTAAACACCCTCCTGTGATGATCCCTAATCCAGTCCACCACCTTCACTTTGGGGCCCAGAAGGGGAAAACATCTGCCCCAAATAAAGACGCCATCAATATCTACATTTAAAAGTGAATTCGGCTCGAATATGCTGAGTGAAAGAACAGTCACAAAGGATCACATATTGTATGATTCCGTTTATATAAAATGTTCAAAATAGGCAAATCCATAGAGATTACTGGTGGCCTAGGAATGGGAAACGGGGGGGGGGGGGGGGGGGAGGGATGGATGCCCAAGGAGTGTGGAATTCCTTTTTAGAATGATGAAACAATTCTAAAATCTCTTGCGATGATGGTTGTACAACTGGAATGTAAGCCACTGAACTGTATAGTTTAAGTGGGTGAACTGCACAGTATGTAAATTACATTACAATAAAGCTGTTTTTCAAAAGTGCATTCAGGTTGCAAATGACCACACATCTGAGCTTTAGTCCCATTCAAGGGGCAAAAAGAACCCTTGAGGGCGGAGAAAAATCAGGGCAGGGTCCCTGACTGGCGTATGGATTGGCCAGGAAGCATTCCAGAAAGAATGAGATTATATATAATCTTGGTCTTCAGGGCAATGAAGCATCACGGACAGTTTTAAGCAGTAGAGTGACATGATCAGATCTGCGCTTTAGAAACACCCCTCTGATCTACTGAATTGTACATTTAAAGCCAGTACATTTTAGGGTGTGTAAATGAGACCTCAATAAAGCCAAAAAATCACTCTGGGGCTTGAGGACAGACAACGGCAGGAGTTAAGCGAGAGGTGCAGGGCCATCTGCGGGGAGGTGGGGAAACTGGCTGGGGGAAGTGGGGAGACTCGGGATGTCCTCCCTCCAGGTAAGGAGAACCTGGTGGAACTCGGTTCCAGAGCCCAGCAGCCAGCCAGGCAGCTGCTCCACTGACGGGCGATGGAGGACTCACTGTTCTCCCCTTCGAAGAGAAATGCACTTCAGAAACATGTTTCCAAAAAACGTTGCTAAGGGTTTTATTTCTAACAAGAGGAAAATAATAAAATAAAATTAAAATAGGCTTCAGCTGGAACCAAGTTTCTTGTTTTGCTTTTTGTTTTCTTTTGAACAAATTAATTACACACCAACAATCTTGTTTTATTACAACAGGAACCCAGGAGGAGGAAAGGAGACGGGGCGGGACGGGGAGGGAAGGTCCGGTGGCTGTGAGGACAAGCACCAAAAGCTTTCTTCAGATTGCAGGGAGCCCTGCTAGCTCCCCGACCAAATCATTTAAAAGACACTGTGAGCACAGCTATGTGGTTTCCTCCTCCTGGGTGGATCAGTCAGGAGAAGGGGGAGGAAGGCGAGGGGAAAGTGAGGAAGGGCAAGGGGAGAGTGAGGGGGAGGGGAGGTTAGTGTAGCCTGGCCTGGCCAGGGCTGGAACTGGGGTGAGGGAGAGGAGAGTCCCCCAGTTTGCATATGCACTGGCCTTGTCTCTGGAATGGTGCTGGCCCAGCCTCAGCCACCCCCGGTCCCCCTGCCCATCCATCTGTCCATCTGCCTCAGGTGTCTGGGAATGCTGGTTAGAGGCTACCAGGGAGGGGGACTCCAGGGGCCGGCCCCCAGGAGCTGAGGTCTAAACAATACCTTGGAGTCAGAATATAAAAGTCAAGGGACTCAGGGGTGGGCTGAGGTGGGGGGTGGCCATCCCCCCTACTCGCCCACCTCCCAAGAAGCAGGCTTGATGGTCAGAAAGAGGATCCTTGAGGCCAAGGGGGGGTCTCTGTCGGGGTCTGTGCCAGGCTCAGCCACTGTCACGACTGTTGCTGAGGCGGCTGCTGTGGGCAGGGCACGGGCAGCCGTGGAGTCAGAGTGGAGAAAGGGGCTGAGGGGCCCGAACTGGCCCCTGGGGCTGGCTCCAAGCCATTCTGGTTCTCTTGGGTGCTGGGGCTGCCAGTGGTGGGCAGGGGTTGGGGAGGACCCTCAGCACCCGTCTCCTCCTCCAGCTCCTCCTCCTCCTGGGCCTCCTCGGCCTCTGGCCCTGAGCTCCGGACCCTCTTTGGCTCTAGCTCCTCTCGGGCTGGGTCATCACCCTCCCCACCCCGATCCACCTTCCGCCGCCGCCGCCTCTCCAACGCCCGGCCCCGGCCCCGGCTCCCATGGCGCTCTGCCTTCTCCAGCTGTGATCACAGATGGGCAGAAAGAGGTGTGGGCCAGTGGTCAGGCCTGGGCTCCCTGGCTGCTTGGCCTGACCTCCTGGCCCTGCCCACAGTCCCTTCCTCACCTCCAGAAGTGTGCGGATCCGCTCCAGGTCTGGAGGCTGCCCAGCCTGCAGCAGCTGCCAGATGCTGTGGTTCTCATCCAGGGTCACCTCAAGCAGGTCCCCCTCCAACATGAGCTCCTCCAGGGGGGCCCGGGTTGCCTCAGGCAGCTCCAACACGGGGCCAGTCAACTGTGGCAACAGCGAGGACAGCAGCTCCAGGTCTGGGGGCGTTGTGGAGACAGGCTGGGTTAGAGGCTGCCCCTGATCGCCTCCCCACCACCACGACAGAGCCCAGGACCACGTGAGTCAAGTCTGCTGACATGCAGTACACAGCCTGCTCGCATCTACACCTACCTCTCTTACCTGAGCCTTCCCCCGGGGCTACCTTCTCAGGACTGGTCACGCTGTCTCCGTTCTCCAACCCCTGGGCCTGGCAGGGAGAGCAAGAGTGGGGAAGGGTAACTGAAGAACCAGGCTCTGGTCTTCCCCACAACCCGACACTTGGGGCTCCCCACTCCTGGAGTGGAAAGGCAGCCACAGGCTGCCAGTGGGGAACAGTCCAGGCATCTGGACAGAATATAGAATGGGGCAGGGTGGGTGGGCCAAGGGAGGTGGAAGGTCAGAGATCAGGGACAGGGCTGGAGCCTACACAGGGGTGGGGGTTAGAAAAAGGAATTTGGGGACAATAGCTGGGCTGGGCAGCTCACCTTAGGCATATCCTTGCCACTGCCTTCTCTGAGAGGGTCAGAGGCAGGGGCTGAAGGGAGGGTAGGGGGCTCCTCGGGCCTGGGTTCAGCCTGTAGCCGCTGGCGCAGTTCAGTCAGCCGTCCCAACAGGGCAGAAACGTCCTCAGAGGCCAGAGCCTGCCTGGCACGGCCTTGCCAGCTGATGGCCCTCTCTGTGAGGCACTGCAAGGCCTCGCCCTCAGGCAGCCGCACGGGCAGTCTCTGCAGGGCTACCAGCAGGGCCAGGATGGTCTCCAGGCGCGGCCGCCGGGAGCGCATACACAGCGGACATAAGAATTTGGTGTCCCACTCCCACCAGGCCAGCAGTGGGGATGAGGGGGGACTGGGCCTCAGGGAGTTGAGGAGGCGGGGTACCGACACACATCGCCCGTGGAACCAGTCCTGACACAAGTCACACCGCAGAGCTCCCGCCCCGGCTGGCACCTGCCCACACACACAGATGGAGTTTGCCGAGGCAGCCGTGGTCGATGATGCCAGGGGACTGGGCTTGGCGGAGTTGGTGCGTCGCAGCTGCAGGATGCCCTCCTTCTCCTTCTGTTCCCCCTCCTTGAAGGCCACGATCTGCCATGCCGTGCCCAGGACAGGGAGAACAGGTCAGCAGCCCAGCCCCTCCCTTGTCTGATGCCATAAACACCCCACCCCTAACCGGGAGAACTAGGCCCAGGGTGCAAGTGGTCTGCCTGTGGCCACCCAGCTCTCCCCATCCGGCCCAAGCTCCTTACCACAGAGCCTGGGTCCCTGAGGTCCTGTGCAGACAGCCCCAGCAGCTCTGTGTCAGACTTGTACAACCCCAGCTCCTTCTCCATCCACCGGCTGCGCTTGGTGCTGTCCGAGCCGGCGTCTGCACATGGGCAGAGCACCTGAGGCAGGCAGAGGGGGCATGATGGGCTTCCCCTGCCCTTCCCTTCCCTCCCCAGAACCCCCAAGCCCCCATGTTCTTCTCATGCCAGCCAGGCCAGAGGTGGGGAAGCTGGGGTCAGGTCCCGTCTCACCTCCAGGAGCGTGTAGCAGGAATTCTTCTTGAGGAAGGTCTTTGAGGCCTTCTCCCGCCAGGAGTGTGCCGTCAGCACCTGCAGCTCTAGCTGCCTCAGCTCCTCCAACCCCACGGGTAGGTCCCGGCCCACGGCCACCAGGCCCTCCAAATCATCCAAGCAGGGATAGTGGTCACCGTTCTGGGACAGGGGCAAGACAAAGCTCAATTCAACATGCCAACATCTATCTACTCAGGCTGCCCTGTGTCCGGCCCTGAGCTGGGAAGATGGAGCAGACTTCACAATGCAGAGGCAGCATAAAACCGGGCTCGACCTAAGACAAGCACTCCCTAGAACTCCTATAGCCAGTGGCTCAGCCCCCACACATCCAGTCCGCCCCCAGGCCCACCAGTTCTTTTATTGTGCTTTGCCTCTTCTACCTGCCCTGCCCCCACCATTCTCACCCTCATCAGCCTCCTCTCTTCTCTTAGGCCAGTCTCACAACCCCTCCTCAGGCTGCTCACTAAGCACATTTTGCCTCTCTCTGGCCAAGCCAACCCCACCCACAACCCAATATATGGCATCTCTCCTGGTTGGCTTGAAGGTCTGGGGTGGAGGGAGAGGGAGGCGACACGGTCCTCACTTGGATCTCATCCACATCAGCAATCCAGGCCCGGGCCTTAGCAAGAGCCTCCTTGAGAGCCTGGATGTTGGGCAGGTGAACAGGAATGTTTTCTGCCTCATGGATTATGGCCTCGAGTGTGGCTGGTGGATGCTTCTGCCTGAAGGTAGGGAAAAAAGAGGCCTCAGTCTGGGGTGGTCTGTCTGACCAGAAACCCAGCCTGACTACCAGACACAGCGGTGTGAGCCCCTGGGGCTGCCACGTGCGCCTACTTGCATGTATTGTGCCTACGGGTGGCTGCCAGTCACTGCTGGCAGCGCCTACACACACAACCTTGGGCTGTACTTTGTCAGGTTGCCCTGTGTGTGATGTTTTTTCTACCGATGTGTGTCCATCTGCCTGTCGGTGCTTGTGCTCGTGTGCACCTGCAAAGGGAGTCCTCCGTACATGCGGACTGTCCACCTCTGCTTCCCCACAAAGACTGTCTGCCTCTATGTGTATACGGAGTTTTGTTTTTTTGTGTTTTTTTTTTTAAAGATAAGATAGGGAACGAAAAAGGGAAGGAGAGTCAATACACCAACACAGGAGCCTGGTACCCAAGGCCACCCACAGGAATCATCTTCAGCTTCTCTACTAACTCCGAAGGTTGGGGAAGGGCAGAGAGGGGAAGAGGCTGGTCCCAGCACCAGAAACTCACCTGGCCTCCAGACAGAGGTGGGCCTTCTCCTCCCAGCGTTCGGCGATGGTCAGCAGCTCCTGCAGCTCGGCCCGGGCCTTATCCACAGCGGGGCTAGGGGCTACACTGGCACCCGCCACCAGCAGTCCTCGCATGACAGCCAGGGTGCCCCTTCGGGCTGAGGGGGCCAACGTGCGTTTCACCTCATCCAGCCACCGCGCCTGTTCCACCTGCCGCTGGAGCTGCTGGGCCTCGGGCACCTCCACTCCCAGCTGCCGCCCTCTCTCCAACAAGGACTGCAGGAGCCCTGGGCTGGAGGGCAGTGAGGCCAGGGCCTCACGGGCCTCAGCCTGGTAGGCCTCCACCTGGTCCAGAACACCCTACCGGGGCACAGATGAAGAACACACCCTTCAGCTGGGCTCGCTTCCAGGTGCCACCACCAGATCTCCCGCCCACCTACCTTCTCAGCCTTCAGTATTGGGAAGACAACCTAACATGAGCTGGGCTCCCCTCCCTCACCGTGCCCCGAGACACTGGTCCCTAACACTCACTGCCTATGTGAATACCCTTGGGGGATTTGTTAAAAATGCAGATTCCTGGGCCCCACCCCAAGATTCGTAATAGGGGCTGGTGAGGAGTCTCTGCTTATTTAAGTCCCCAGAGGGTTCTGAGGTACAGCACCAGGACACCCTCCTCGCTCTGCTATGCTTGGCCCTCACAAGCCCCTCCACTCACACCAGTGCCCATGGCTTTCTCCATCCCACTCTTACCTTCCTCAGCTTGGCTCAGCTCCCCAGGCTCACAAACACCCTCGTACTTCCTCCTTCTCCTCTTTTACCTCCACCAGGAAACCTTCCCTTGATTTTGCATTCTATACTCATGCCTTTGCCACCTGTCCCTCACATCCCAGCCCTAAGAGGCAGTCACAAGAGCTTTGGCCTCCTGCTTCCCATTATTTTCTCACATGTCTTGCCTGAATATTGATGCCTTTTAAGGGAGCCAAGCGTGGCTGGCTGCCCAGGTCCCTCAACCCGCCTCAGCATTCAGGGGCACTCCAAGACCACCTCTACTTACCTTAACATCTCCAATCTGGTGCATGGCGCACGGCAGGTTGCTCATCTGGTCCAGAAAGGCCCGGAGCTCGGCCAGGGTCATCTGTACATCAGCTACCCTGTGGGGACTGTGAAGTTTCACATGTGGGGTTTCAAGTCCCCTCCTTCCATGTCTTTGCTGAGACCTAACACTTTTCCTCACAACTTCCCACTTTGATCTCTCATGCTTCAGCTTCCCTAGGGTGGAGGGAGGGTTCCCAGATTCAAGTGCATTCATATGAGGAGAACACTTGTTCCCTTACCTTCTAAAATGGAGATAACGGTACTATCCTCACTAGGTTGTTATGAGGATTAACAACGATAAGAGAGGAATATAGGATACATTTGGGAAGGGGGGGCTTAGAAATTCATTGATGGTCACAGAAGCTGGACTTTTCAACCCATCCTCTACTGTGAGCTGTCAGTAAGCCCCTAAGCCTTCCACCAGTCCTTCCTGCCCACATGCTCCCTCAGCCTGTCTGAGATCTCCCCCAGGTATTGAAATAAAGGGACATTTCTAGCTTTCTTAGGACCAAGATACTCTTCTCCATTCTAATTGTCTGGTCTCTCTGCCCTCCCCCCATCACCTCCCAGACCACCTTGAACTTGTCAGCTTCCTACTGCTGTCGCCTGCCTGGTGGCACTCAGAGTCCATCCCTCGCAGCACTTTTCCTAGGTGCCACGTGCGCCCAACACCTCATGATGCCATACCCAGCTTCCTGGCCGCTGACCAGGCCCAGTGCCCGGGACACACAAGCCTCTGCCTCACTCAGGCAGTTCTTTAGTCGTTGCAGCAGCTCACTGTTCGGGAACCTCCGCTCACGGGCCTCAGACTCCAGTGCTCTCAGCTCTTCAAGGCCTGGAGAGAGAATGAGAGCATCAAGGAGTAGGCAGCATTGAGTAAAGGTAGAGCAAGAGGGTGGGGGCACAGAAGAAAAGGGAGTAGAACTTGCCTGTGGAGTCCCTCCGACCCCCCCATCACTCACTGCGCTTCCGCCCATCCTCCACCTCCAGGGCCACTCGCACTTTGTTGGCCCAGGTGTCAAAGGACTCAGCCCGAACCTTCAGCTTATGTAGCATGGCAGGGAGCTCATCCAAGGTGTAGCGATACCTGGAGGAAGAGGGCAGAGAAGAGCACCTCTCGCCCCGCTCTGCATCTCCCTCCTCGGCCCACTTCCTCCAGGTAGGCCCCCCTGCTCACCGCAGGTACTGCCGGCTACTGGAGCACTTGCAGAGGTCATTGATGTGGGAAAGGCAGACAAGGCCGTCTGGACAGTCGTAGCAGGCCAGGGCTGATAGGAAGCACGTGGTCTTACACTTGATGCACTGGCGCTCATCATCCGGGAGCAGCTCGAAAGCTTCTCGCTCAGCTTCAGTGATGCCCTGGGGGCAGTTCGACCCACGCTTATTATATGGAACCAGAACAGGGCCCACATCTCAGCCACCACTGAGCCCTGTGTTAGAAACCAAGCTATGCTGAGAGCTGGGGGGGGGGGGGAAGCTCAGACTTCAAGGAGCACCCTGCCTCTATGAAGTCCAGACTCTCACAGCTGGGAGAATCAGACAGCCCAGGGGAAGATCAGTGTGGGCTGAACGGAACAATGAGGTACAATTGGCATCAGCTATAAGGGCCTTTTGGGTGGAAGAACATAAGGAAAGTGGTAACCAAGGCGCCAGAGAGGTGGCAAGGTGTGGGAGTAGGCAGGAGAAAGGCCATGCACTGGGGAACGAGGCTGGCTTCTAGCCACTCAGCACCTACTGTGTTCCAGGCACTGTGCTGGCAGCTTAGCAGGCAGGCCTCACTGCGTGCACATACATAAGTTCCAGAAATAAAACCTGGGCCTGTCTCCACTGTTTAAAGATACAATTTTTCCCCAAAACCTAATAAGCAATGACTTCATCTGTTGCTCAGATGAAGAAAAAGCAATCCATTCCAAAAAATGGAGGACAAGCTGGCTTAGTGGGAGGAATTGAAAGATAATACAACGCTATCATTATGGGCAATTTCAGGGATTTTAAAGGGACATTTGGATTCTTAACAGTTTTTATCTTGTATTTCTTTAACACCTATTCTTTACATAAAATATGATGTCCAGTGCATATTACAAATCCCACTTGGCCACTTATTAGCTGTGTGATCTTGAATAAATTATTTAAACCTCTTTAGGTCTTGTAAAATGGAGATAATGGTACCAGTCTCATTGGGTTGTTATGAGGATTAACAAAGATAAAGCAACTAAGGACTTAGAAAAGTATCTTAACACTTAGAATAAGTGGAATCATATAAAAGCCAAATAGCCAAAGCAATCTTGTGAAAGAAGAACAAAGCTGGAGGTAACACAGTTCCTGATTTCAAACTATACTACAAGGCTATAGTAATCAAAACAGCATGGTACTGGCATAAAAACAGGCACATAGGCCAATGAAACAGACTTGAGAGCCCTGAAATAAACCCCTACATATATACTGTCAACTAATATTTTTGACAAGGGAGCCCAGACTATTCAATGGGGAAGTAATAGTCTCTTTAATAAATGGTGCTGGGAAAAGTAGATAATCACATGCAAAAGAATGAAACTGGACCCTATCTTACACCACTCACAAAAAGTAACTTGAAATAGATTAAAGACATAAACAGAAGACCCGAAACCATAAAAATCCTACAAGAAAACATAAGAAAAACATCTCCCTGACATTGGTCTTGGCAACAATTTTTTTGCATGACACCAAAAGCTCAAATAAAAAGCAAAAATAATTGGGACTAAACCAAAACTAGAAAGCTTCTGCACAGCAAAAAATAAATATAATCAACAAAATGAAAAGCCAAATATGGAATGACAGAAAATATTTGCAAACCATATAAAAGGTTAATATTCAGAATATACAAAGATACAAATATACAACTCAATGGCAAAAAAAACCAACAATTCAACTGGGCAAGTGTGGTGCTTTTAAGAAGGCAGCTGAACTATACTCATCTACACACACAATTGACACATGCTTATGAGAAATCTATTCAAGGAGGGCTGCCCTCTACTTGGTGATTTTACTTTAGTGTGAGCTATCAAACCATCTGAATGTAATAAAATGGCATTTCCTAAGAAGTGTTCCACATTTCAACCATTTTCTTCATGTATTAATATTACCAATAGCAGCAGCTGCTACACAGCAAATGCTACAGATGCTATTACTACAGATGCTTTGACACAAGTCACCTTACTCATGCTTTACCACCTTGTAAGTGAAGGATTTATTTCCATTTTACAGTGTGGGAAAGTGAGACTATGAGAGGTTAAGTGACTTGAAAAGGCCATCCAGCCAATCTGCATATGCCAGTCTTCCTTGCTGGGTTATTTAAATAATAATGAATAGCAGCTATACTAGCACTTGCTATGGCTCAGTTACTTAATATACATGTTAATCTACACAGCTTTCAAAAAGGTAAGCACTGAGTCAGTGTGGCTCCGTGGTTGAGTGCCAACCCATGAACTGAGAGGTCGCCGGTTTGATTCCCGGTCAGGGCACATGCCCAGGGTTTTGGGCTCGATCCCCAGTAGAGGGCGTGCAGGAGGCAGCCAATCAATGATTCTCTCTCATCATTGATGCTCTCCCTCTCTCTTTCTCTCCCTTCCTCTCTCTGAAACCAATAAAAACATCCTATATAATAAAAGGCTAATATGCAAATCAACCAAATGGTGGAATGACTGGTCGCTATGACGTGCACTGACCATCAGACACTCAACGCAGGAGCTGCCCTCTGGTGGTCAGTGCGCTCCCACAGGGGGAGCACCGCTCAGCCAGAAGCCCTGAGCCAGGCTCAAGGCTGGTAAGTGCGGTGGCGGGAGCCTCTTCTGCCTCCAAGGCAGTGCTAAGGCCTAAGTCAGAGGTGGGCAAACTTTTTGACTCGAGGGCCACAATGGGTTCTTAAACTGGACCGGAGGGCTGGAAAAGCATGGATGGAGTGTTTGTGTGAACTAATATAAATTCAAAGTAAACATCATTACATAAAAGGGTACGGTCTTTTTTTTTTTTTTTTTTTTTAGTTTTATTCATTTCAAATGGGCCGGATTCGGCCCGCGGGCCGTAGTTTGCCCATGGCTGGCCTAAGCCATCAGTCGGGCATCCACCAAGGGCTCTCAGACTGCGAAGGGGTGCAGACAGGGCTGAGGGGACCCCCTCGCCCCGGGTGCATGAATTTTGTGCACCAAGCCTCTAGTTAAAAATAAAAACAAACCAAAAAGATAAGCACTATTATAATCCCTGTTTTTCAGACAGGGATTCTGATATTCAGTGAAGTAAATTAACTTCCTTGTGGTTGTTGGTAAATGGGAGAGCAGGGAACGGGATGTAGTTCCCCATCCAGACGCATCTAGCTCTTTTTACTACTCCCTGAGAATAGAAGTTACAGTTACTTCTTGGGGCCACCCCTCCTTCCCCCGACTCTGCCATGCTAGGATGTCTGATCCAGGGCACTCTCCCCACCACTCACTTTTTCCAGCAGAGCCTTTCGTAGACGCCGCTCCTCCTGGACCATGATGAACATCTCCTTATGCACAGCTGCTGCCAGGTTCAGGTCCAGCTTCTCTGGGCAGGCAGCCATCTTGCATATGAGCTCCTCATGGGAGAAGACACAGTATCTACGGAGTCGGCGGTAGTGCTCTATGCACTGGCGCCCAGCTGGCAACTGTGGACAGGTTCAAAGTTGAGTTTGGTCAAATGTGGAGACCCGCGGTGCCTCAGCTTCCCCATAACCCTCCTCCTGCTTCTCCCTTCCAGCCTACCACACTCCGGACTCACCCAGTCAGCAGTGCAAAAGTTGACAGCCTCAGCAAAATTGTAGCCTTGGTTGAAGCCACTGTGGTAAGCACGAGGGAAGGTAATGACGAATTCTCCTGCACACTGGTTGGTGCGGACAACCTGAGAAAGAAAGGCCAAAATCACTGAGACAGACGTTTTCCACCGTCTGCAGAAACCTGATCTATAGTAAGTGCAGGGTACTTATGGAGACAAAGGAAAGCCTGAGGAACACAGTCTGACAACAGATTCCCAGACCCTCAAACTGTGAAAGGACTGACCACTGGTCTCTAGATCTCAAGGTTTTGTGTTGACAGATGACAGGAAAATTGGAGTTAAAAGTAAGAACTGTACACACCAAAATATTTCAGCCTCACTAGTAATTTTTATAAAAATTTAAAATATCACCTTTCATTAAGCTAGTCAAGGTTTTTTCATTAGAATATTTTTATCAGTCATATATGCAGCTTCAAGAGCCAAATGGTTCTACGGCGTTTGTTATAAAACCACTAGACCCTGCCATTCTCCACTCCCCAGAGCCAACTGCTTTCACCTCTTCTTATTTTGGCATTCACTTTAATACTGGACAACATGCCTCTAGGCTAAATCAGAAACAGCCTACATCTCAATTTGCTTAATTTTCTACGCATGTATTAGTAATTTAATCCCTACCTTTTGGACAAGTGTCCAACTCTGCTCTCTATGTTTTCACATTTCTGTAAGCCTCTCATGGAGCCTTATGATCTGTTCCAATCTGGACCAGCTGTCCCTCCTGGATTATCACTCTCCTGTGAAGGATCACCTGTGTTCCCAGATCCCACGTTTTCCTCTTTCTTGGTTTTTGATTTATTCCTTTGCTGTGCTATATTGCACATTCTCTTCTCTAGCTTACTGAGAAACGATGGGAAGAGTTTTTTTGTTTTTGTTTTGTTTTTTTTAAATTGCATATAGAATCCTAAGTTGAAAATCATTTGAAGGCATGGCTCTAGTCTTCTAGATTCCAGTATTATTTTGAAAACTCTGATGCCATTCTGATTACTAATGCTTTTTTTTTTTTAATATATTTTATTGATGTTTTACAGAGAGGAAAGGAGATAGAGAGTTAGAAACATCGATGAGAGAGAATCATCGATCAGCCGCCTCCTGCACTTCTCCCACCGGGGATGCGCCCGCAACCAAGGCACATGCCCCTGACCGGAATCAAACCTGGGACCCTTCAGTCCGCAGGCCGACGCTCTATCCACTGAGCCAAACCGGTTTCGGCTGATTACTAATGCTTTGAATTAAACCTGTTTTCTCTCTCAGAAAGCTTGTAGGATTTTTCTGGTCCCAGTGTTTAACATGAAAATCCACCAGATATACCTTGGTGTAGGTCCATTTTCATTCACGTACTGGGTAGGCCCTTTGACTCCAGAAACTCAGTCGTTCAGTTCAGGGACATTTTCTTCAATGATTTCATTAACGACTTGATCCTTTCAGTTTTTCTGTATTTTCTTTTCAGAACTCCTATTATTTATTGAGCCTCCTAAATAAATTCTGTAATTTTCTCTACATTTGTCCATATTTATCTTTTTATCCTATTTTTTTCTTTTCTGGGAGATTTCCTTAATTATTCATCTTCTAACATTTTTTGATTTTTTTAAATTTTTCAGTTTTGCTAGCATAATTTTAATTTCCAAGAGCTCTTTTTTGTTCTCTGTATGCTCTTTTAAAATAGTAATTGTTCTTATTTCATGTTTGCAATATATGCTCATCTCTAAAGTTACTAATGAGGTTTATTTTCTTTTCCTTTTTAAAGTTTACTTCTCCCTGCCTATGCTGTTTCTCCAGGTTGCTTTTTCCCCGTTTGGTTCCATTTTGTTTCCTTGATTGTATGTTAATTTGTGGCTACTTATATTTAAGAGTAAGAAATGAAAAAAATGAATAGAAACTCTGAAAGCATAGTTAATTTTGTCAACTGTGAGCTTCATTGTAGGGTGATCTGGCTGAGCCATTCAGTTTGGGAAACTCTAGGTTTTTCCTTTTGGGCCAGATTCCTGAGGGAAAAAAGTGTGACTGCCAGTGTTCTGAGAGCCAAGTAGAGGAATATGGCTGGGAACCTCAGCATCCAGTCTGCATACAACAAGAACTCCTATTATTTTCACTGTACCTCGACCCTCAACTGTACCTAGAATATCTCAATCCAGAGATCTATTTTAACCTCTTCAAAAGTAAATTTCCTGTCTGTTGCTGGAGTGAGGGAGGGTCGTATTTCCAGCTGCCCAGAATGGGAGGGTATCTCACAGCTTCTTATAGAGACATGAACCAATCCTTATTTTCACCTCATTCTCTTTATTCCCAGAATGCCTGGTGCCACCAACTATTAAACTTTTGGGGGATTGTGAGGTATAAATCAGGTTGGTTCTCAGATATACCAGTACTGACTTAAGAATGAATTTTCTCGTTTTCTAGTTTCAAGCATTTTGTTTATCATTGTCTTCTCTCTTGTTTTTCCATCTGTTTTTTTTACCTTAAATAAAAACCCTCTGTGCCATTTTAGTGGAGTTTCAGTATAGAATGGAAGTATCCATCTTTATGTTTAATTCACCATCTTTACCGAGAAGTCTCATAAAGTTTTCTAAGATGAATATTCAATGCTGATAAAGACAAAGTGAAATAGGTACAGTGTCAATGAGGGGACAAATAACCTCTACTCTCTAGAAAGCAAAACTGCTAATAAATATCAAAAACCTAAGATATTTATATCCTTCAATCCAACAATTCCTCTGCTAGGATTCTAGATTAATGTGGAGAGAATTAATATCCTAACAATACTGAATCTTCCCATTAGTGAAAACACCTACATATTTATTCAGGTCACGCATCAACCCCCACCTCCAATACATTTTCTTCTTAAATCTATCCCTACTTAGAGGCAACATTAGCATTTCTTGCCTGTATTATAGCACTGGGCCCCATTATCAACCACTAGAAGTTCCAAAAAATGCGAATCTGACCCTACTGAGAAGCCCTCACTTGAATCCCTATTTCCACGTGATAGAGCCATGGCCAGACAGGCAAATTCTTCCTCTTCCTTCCTTTGTGCTTTTGTGACCGCCTTCCTAAGGACCCAGTCTGTTTTCTTTTGTAGCACCTCTAACATTTTATCCTACTTGTTACCTGTCCTCCACCCATCTGTGCATACCCGTAGGGCAGGGACAGGATTATCTACCTTTGGGGTGATGACCAGAGGCCTTGCACACAGAGGGAGTTCTAGCAATATCTGTTGAATGATCTAGTTCCAGCCTTAATTTTAAAGATGTGAAAAATGAGTCCCAGAGAAGTCTCAAATAGCAGAGCCAGAAATAGAACCTAATGCTCCCGACTCTTTGTCTCAACCTACCCCCTCATGTTGGCAATGTCCATCAACTGGTGAATGATAAACAAAACATGGTATACCCCTACAATGGAAAATTATCTGTATAAAGGCCTAAGCGACCGTTACAGTGGAACAACCAGAACGACTAGTTGCTATGACACACACTGACCACCAGGGGGCAGATGCTCAATGCAGGAGCTGCCCCCTGATGGTCAGTGCGCTCCCACAGGGGGATGCACTGCTCAGCCAGAAGCTGGGCTGATGGCTGGCAAGCACAGCAGCAGTGGCAGGAGCCTCTCCCGCCTCCACAGCAGCATTGAGGATGTCCGACTGCTGGCTTAGGTAAGGGGCGAGGGGTCCCAGACTGCGAGAGGGATGTGCGACTGCTGGCTTAGGCTCTTGGGGAGCGGGCCTAAGCCGGCAGGCGGACATCCCCTGAGGGGTCCCAGACTGTGAGAGGGCACAGGCCAGGCTGACGCCCCCCCCCCCCCCCGCACGAATTTCATGCACTGGGCCTCTAGTTCCATTATAAAAAGAAACAAAGTTCTGACACAGGCTGTAATATGAACTTTGAAAAGATTATGCTAAATGAAAGAAGCCAGACACAAAAGACTACATATTATTATATTTATATAAACTATCTACAAGAGACAAATCTGTAGAAATAGAAGGCAGATTAGTGGTTGTTTGGGACGAAGGTTTGGAATGGAGATTGACTGCAAAAGGACATGGACATGAAGTACCTTTTTGGGGTGATAAAAATGTTCTAAAACTGGATTGTGGCGATGGTGTAACACAACTCTGTAAATTTGCTCAACTGTATACTTAAAATGCGTGAATTTTATGGTATGTAAATTGTACTGCAAGAAAGCTATTTTTTTTAAAAGACGATATTTTTTTTTATTGATTTTTAGAGAGAGGAAGGGAAGGGGAGAGAAACATCTATATGAGAGCGTAACATCTATTGGCTGCCTCCCACAAGCCCACTACTGGGGATGAGCCTGCAACCCAGGCATATGTCCTGATCAGAAATTGAACTGGCAACCTTTTGGTGCACTGGATGAGGCCCAAACAACTGAGTCACACTGGCCAGGGCAAGACTTGCTATTTTTAAAAAGGTGGTTATAAACAGTTCTTAGTAAGGAAGCAAAAATCATTCCAGTCCAGCACTGTCCAATATGCCAGCCACATATGCTTTTAAATTCTCTAGTAGCCACATTAAAAAAATAAAACATATGCAATTAATTTCAATATATTTTATTTAACTTAATATAGCTGCCATATTACCATTTTAATGTGTAATTGGTATACAAAAGTATTAGTGAGATATTGTTTTGTACTAAGTCTTGAAATCCAACGTGTTTTAACTTTCAGCACATTACAGTTAGGACTAGTCATGCTTCCAGTGCTCAGAGACCACATGTGGCTAGTAGCTACCAAACTGGACAGTGCCATTCTAGGCCATTAAACTTACAAGAAAAGATTATAAAATCTACACACTGATTATTGCTATGTCAAAATTTACATAGAAAAAACAACAGATGGAAATAAAAAATGTGAACGAAATAAGGATGGCCTCTCTATTTTCATTTTTTGGGAAGAGGGCATGTTTCTTTTATAATGAAAATAATAGTTATACTATATATCTATAAAAAGAAATGGCCTTTTCTCACCAAAGAGGAAGGAGGGGGCAGGCTAAAGATAGCTCTGGGGGAACTCCAAATGGATAAACTGCAGCCTGCCAACACGAGAATCTGAAAATCACAGATGCCTTGGATTGAGGGATACTGCCATGAGCAAGAGAAATGCTGTGGCCGCAAAGAGCGTATATTTAAAAGTCTGTGATAAAGTTTTTTTAAAAAGAGGTAAGAACTAAGCAGCTACATATATATGCATCTTTTTTTTTAATTGATTTTTTTTTTTAGAGAGGGGAAAGAGAGAAACATCGGTATGAGAACACAACGTCAAATGGCTACCTCGTGCACCCTATCAGGATTGAGTCCACATGCGGGCATGTGCTCTGACCAGGAATCAAACCAGCAACCTTTTGGTGCAAGGGACGATGCACAATCCACTGACCAACACCGGCCAGGGCTATATATGTATCTTAGCTGTCTGAATCCTTAAGAGAATCCACCTCTACTTTTATAATTTTCCTTGACACTGTAGGCAAGGTTTGAGGAAAGGTCAGACCCAATGTCTAGTTGTGAAGAGAACTGGAAGGGCCTTTGACCAACTGGACATCTCAACTCCAGTAATTCTTAAATGGGGTGAGGTGGAGACAGAAAAGGATACTCCACCTCTAAGTAGAAGAAGGTTGCCTGAACTATTGTAGATGCTTCCTCTAATCCCTAGATATCTCAATCCTTGGTTAAAGATCACTACAACGTAAAATAAAAAATATTACTCAAAGGGTATGCAGTATATCAAAACAAGGTGAAGGCAAGAAGAAATTTGGGTGAAAACCACCGACCCAGTCCAAAGCCCTACTGTACTAATGTCCAGGGATCTCAAGGAGACATTGATTCAATACGTACTGCCTGCCTACCATACCCCATGCGTTAGACTAAGTGGCATGGCAGGTAAGGGTGGGGAATAGAAGGGAGAAGGGAGGAGTATAGAATAAAACTCAAAGCAAAGGTGGTGAATGCACTAATCCCTGTCCCTACAGGACTATTCATCAGGCTATTTTAAGATCCACACCAGGAAACTAACTGATGCTAATTAATGCTGGAAATTCCCAGGAATATAAAGTCTCTTATAGGTAAGCCAGGCTTATACCTAGCAAAGCGTTTGATAGAGGCCCACAGGAGGATAGGATAAGCCAGGACTCTGGGTTCAACTTTTTTTTTAAAATGTGGAAAGATATTAGCACTTTTTTTAAAAGGTTACCTTACACCCCAGCTTTATTGAGATATATAAAACATTGTGTAAGTTTAAGGTGTACAACATATTGATTTGATAGACTTATATATCGCAAAATAATTGCCACCACTGACCCTCACACCTGTTAAGTAAAAAGACCTAACACTGCTCCAAGGGTTGTAGTATGGAAAGTATGGCAGAGAACTGCTAGTTGTCCCCTGATAATCTCTCACCTTCTTTCATAGTAACATGACCTCCAATTTGTAGCTGGTACATAACCATCCAGAAGAAAAATCACATTTCCCAGTTTTCCCTGCAGCTCAATGTGGCCATGTGACTAAGTTGTGACTAACAGGAAATGAATAGAAATGATGTCTGCCCTTAAAAGTAAAGTGAACCATCTTGCCCTGTCCTTCTCCCATTTCCCTCTTGCACTGGCTGGAATGCAGATGTGATAAGAAGCCACCCCTAAGGTGTTGCCCTCAAACACGTGGCCCAGAAGGCTCACCATCACATTGTATATCTAACCGTTATTTTGGGTCTCTGTTAGAGCCGTCAAACCGATAGCCCAATGAAGATACAACAGGAATGAGAAAGGGGGAGGGGTAGATTCCAGACAATGACCACCACCATTACAAAGGACATTGCTAAATCCTTCCTACTCCTTGTCCCTGTTTTCTGGACACTCACCGGCACGCCATGGGACATGAGGGTATTGGGATTCATGAGGGTGACAAGTTGGTGGAGGAGGTCAGGCTGGCTATCAAAGAGCTCAGGTGTCAGCTTCTTCATCACCTCCTCTAAATGTTCTGCTGCGAGCGAGGGTACCCCATACCACGTCTTCGGTTCACCCCTGTCCAATTGGAAAGGGGATATAGAGTGGTCACATCCATGGTCCTGAGGGCGTCCAGCCTGCTTTCCCAGGTCCCTGGGTCCCCACTCACCAGTGGAGGTAGTTAATGGAGTAACTCCAGTGATCCTCAATGTGCCAGCAAAAGGCTGAGAAGACCATGCCTACATAGAGCCAGGGCACCTTCATGCCGGAGATGTCTGCATTGATGTGGCACAGTACGGACTGCTCCAACACTGGCATCACATTCAGGTTCCAGCCACTGGTAGCATACTCCTGTCAGGTCAAGTATTTGTGGGAAGGGGATGAGGGTTATGATAAGGAACTGAGATCTTTAGCCCAGGGAATGTTAATTTTGAGGTCATAGACCTTTTTGAAACATCTAAGAAATAGTATAGGTATTCTCCTGCAAGTTAGAAGCCGCTGCTCTGAACCAAAACGCACCCTTCCCTTGATGCAGGGTCTGGGCCCTCATTTTTTTCTGCATGTACAATCTTACTCCCTAAGCTTTTTATGAACAAGTCAGGCACCCATGTCATACATCTTCTCATTTAATTCTTATAACAGATTTGTAATGTAGATACTATTCCCATTCCACAGACAAGGAATTAGTCAATCTCATGACTGGAAATGCCATGCCAGTTACCAGGCTATGATCTTTCCACACATCTCGTCTCATGTAAATCCCACAGAGCCACTGAATCTTTCAGAGACTAGAGGTCTTGCCTAAGCTCACAGAGCTAACATATAACCATGAGTCATCCACTCACCTCCTCCTCAGGGGTTAGGTGACGCTTATTGTCGCTGACAGGGAAACCGCTGCCAAATTCTTTGGAATGGATGTCAGCCCCATACTCAACCGTCACATCTTCCTCAATGCTGTTCACCAGCCGCCAGAACTCCTTCTCCACAAGTTCTGTGGGTACCATCTGGGGGACAGGGGTAGCGAATGACTGGGGCCCATCATATCCTAGCCCCACTGACCCGGGAGAGTTAAGACCGTCACACACCAGCAACCCATGACCCTAGCCCTGACACTACCCCAGTCCTCCATCACCTACGTGCACGGGCATGTTGAAGTAATCGGCTTTAAAGGAGTCAGCCATCTCTCCAAAGCTCTGCAGAGTGTATTCCCGGGTAGCCTGCTCAAAGCCAAAGGCTTCGGGGGGACGCTTACACTCCTGAAACCCAAAGGAGAACATGTCACAAGGGAGGGGCAAAGTGGTGGAGAAGTCTCCAAATCCGAGTTGGAATATGGGTACAGGCAGGGAGGGAAAATAGGCCTAGATCTGCACTTCGGGCTCCGAGGCAGCTTCATTTAATAGCTCCGCCTTTCCTCCTAGCACCTCAGCTGAACTTGTCTTTTCATTCCTCACCTGCTCACTGCCACGCTTTTGCTCCTCTCTTGCTTGAGGACTTTACTATCTAAACCATGGGCTCTGACTTCAATATGCTATCCGATGCTCTTCTGCCACCATTTTTTTCTCTTGAGCTAAAATATGGATGTAGCCCGGCCCGCGTAGCTCAGTGGTTGAGCACTGGCCTATGAACCAGGAGGTCATGGTTCGATTCCCAGTCAGGGCACATGCCAGGGTTGCAGGTTCGATCCCCAGTGGGGGGCATGTGGGAGGCAGCCGATCAATGGTTCTCTCTCATCATTGGTGTTTGTCTCTTCCTCTCCCTTCTTCTCTGAAATCAATACAAATATTCTTAAAATAAATAAATAAAATACGGGTTTATACAGCATGTTTAGGAAAGCTTTTTTTTATGCCCAGATTGGAACTAAAGGCCTGGGAAATGAGCAGTGAATATTCTAGTAGCTTGGAGGATGGGAAACAAAGGCACTAGCTTTCACAGTGCCAAAACCTACACTGTTCCTGTTCTTTAGATTTTCTCAAAAGATTGGATGCCGGTCGACCTCACTTTGTACCTACAGTCCTGATTTTAGATGAGAGGTGTGTGTATCCCAGAATCAGACACACACTCGTCTCGCGTCTGAGAAGTAAATGTCAATCTGGTCCACAACCACTGACAGAGCCAAGCAGAGCTGAGAATCTTGGCCGTCTGGGATACTGTTGGTATCCAAACTCCTCCCCAAAGGGATCTCCACCACTACCAAGGCCCATTCATTTTGCACTGCCAGGGTCTCCTCCATCATCTGGGTGTGTGCCTGTGTGTGCACTTGCACACCTGGTCTCTGCAACCTCAACTGAGTCCCTGCGATAAGGCTAGAGAGACTATCAGTATCTGCTCTCCAGAAAGCCAGAGAGAAATGGAGATGAGCAGAGAATTTGGATGAAGGTAGGAAGCTCGTGGAACAGACCTGGCGGACTTTTTAGGCTGCTGAGCCCTCACAGCTGCTTCAGCCGCTCTCCTTACCGCCCCTCTTGCACTAGGTAAATTCTCCCCATACACCGTTGCTTTGGCATTTCCTCCGCTCCCCAGTCTAGAACTCCTGCCCACCTTTTCTACTGAAAGTCTACATCACTGCAAACTGATTTTATTATCACAACAGAAGGAAAACAAGTATTATACCCATATGATGGACCCCCTATAAGAAAAACAAATCATACCCATGAATAAATTTAATAATACAGAAAAATTATTAAAAGTAACAAATGAAAATATACAGTAAGATTCCCTAATGCAACAACAAAAAGACAAGAATAGACCAGCCTATTAACAATGGTTGTGTCTAGGTGATGAAATGAGAGGTAATTTGTCTATATTCTAAGCTTTCTAAAAAAACAAAGAATAAAATACTTGGAAATCAAAAGAACAATTTTTGCTTCATATTCCTGTCTTCCAAATGTCAATCCTGACATCTACCCTTAGTCATTTTCCTCTCTTTAGAATTTCTACACCTCCGAGTTTCTAACACACAATTTAGCATTTGATTACACGCCATTACATACAATCTGTCTAATCAGGACTCTCCCCACGAGGTCTGGGAGCTCCCAGAAGACACAGACGAAGGCTGTCTCCACCTCCTCTTTTTTCCAAAGCTCTGCCCAGCCTAGCCCCCACTCCAGGGACCCAAATCAGAAGCCTTTGGCTGAGCTAGGATGCTGCTCACAATAAAGCCAGATGAAGGAAGGCAAAGATAGCCTATGAGGCAGACATGGACTGTGGCTGGGAAGGCCTTACCGCCATGACACACTTTGGGCACCGCCAGACACCCTTGGGAATCTCAGGCAGAGGAGGCAGCAGGCAAAAGATGTGGTAGTTGTCATCACAGCCGTCACATAGCAGGAGTTTGTCGTCCTCATCCCCTCGGGAACACATCCGACATACATACGACTCAATCTGCCAGGGGAGGGAGGCAGTAGTTCATCCACCTAAGCCCTGTCCAGCCTTTACACAGCAGACTCCTCCAGAGGGACCCAGGTCCAGCAGTCTCCATCAGAAAGCTGCACTGCACCCTAGTTGGTTTGGCTCAATGGATAGAACATTGGCCCGTGGACTGAAGGGTCCTAGGCTTGATTCTGGTCAAGGGGAATCAGCTGCAGGCTCAATGGGGATTGGGGGTGAGGGGGTGGGGGGTGGGAGGGTGCACGTGCAGAAGGCAACCAATTGATGTGTCTCTCTCACATCGATGTTTCTTCCCCCTCTCCCCCTCCACTCTTGCTAAAAATCAATAGAAAAATATCCTCAGGTGAGGATTAACAACAACAACAAAAAAGCAAGCTGCAGTGCTCACTAGCTGGATCATTCATGGCCCTATACAGGCTAGTCATACGCAGTCTGGAGTTTAACTGTATGCATGCACCACCTCCCCAAATACACTGGTCGAGTAGTGAAAGCAGAGTCTTTCTCATTCAATCCTAACCCTCCCCCCCCTTTTTTCATTCAATCAACACTTGTGTGTTCTCCAGTAAGACAGATTCTGCAGGTCAGTGATGAATATGACATGGCATCTGCCCTCTAGAGGCATACAGTAACCCAGAGATACAGGTTCATAAAAACTTAAGGGCAAAAAAATACAAAAACCCAACAAAAATAAAAAAATAAAAAATTCAAGGGCAGTGCAGAAACTGCCAAGAGTGGCCCATAGAGGGTACTGTGGGAGCCTAGAGAAGGAAGTACTCAAATCAGCTAGAGATAAGGAGGCACTCGGCCGCAGAGGTAACAGCTGAAACTGAAACCTGAAAGCCAACTGCAACGGGCAGAGTGCAAGGGAAAACTTTTCCAGGCGGAAGAACTGGCATGTGCAATGGATGGGAAAGGAGACAGCATGGTGTGTCAGGGAAAAAAACCGAACATGCCTACAAGTAGTTTGGTGTGGCTATAACAGAGTGAGGGAGCAGTGTTGGGGAACAAGGCTAGATGTCAGCAGGGACTGGATCACGCGTGGTAATGAGCTTAGCCTTTATCTTGGAATAATGGAGAGGGGGCAGCCTTCTCTGGACCCTTTCTGCACTTCATGCTGACAGTATTTGATCACCTTTTCTGGTTCTTTGTTCCATGTGAGTTGGCCTTGTTTCCCCAATTAAGTGAGCAACCTGAAGGCAGGGCCCACCATACCCACTTTTCTGCTCAGTGCAACCCGGTCCAGTGCCATGTTGGGGAAATGCTTGTTGAAGGGACAAGAAGCAAAGCATTAGGAAGTCAGGGCTGGGTCCTTACAAACTGGGCATTGCTGTGGTTCCTCCGCAGCCTCATAGTCATTTTGGTGCAGGGCTCTGGGCTGTGACTCAGCTCCTCCTTGCTCTCCAGGTAGGTCTTGGGTGAGGCCGGCTCCACCTTCATATCCCCGCCTGACTCCTCCTTTATCACTACAGTCGGAGGACACTCAGGCCCTTCCTTATCTGGGAGAGAGCAGAGCAGCTCTAAAGAACAGGTGTGAGCAATCAGGCCCTGCCTTCTCTCCCAGGGGAGGCCATCCTTCACACTGCCCCTTTCAGGCCTCACCTTTCTTCCGCAGAGTCTTGTCCTTGGCCATGAGGCCTAGGCCCATCATCTTGGGGCCTGCCCCATAGATCTGCAGCTTCTTCAGCTCCGGGTTCTTTTCAATGTCTTCTTCTGTGGGTTCCGGCTGGAAAAAGGAAGGAAATGAATCAAGACTGCCCCATCCTAACAGAACAATAGCTTAGAGCAGTGGTCGCCAACCAGTGGTCTGCGGACCACTGGTGGTCCACGAAGTCCGAAAAGTTGGCAACCGCTGGCTTAGAGGATACATCATCTGAGCTTATGCCAGGGGCTGAAGCATGGGCGGGCTGGGGCAAGAATTCAGAGCTGCTTTTCGGAGAAAGGGATTAAGTGAGCTCTCTCTTCAGCCCTCTCTTGGAAATGAATTAACATAGGATTCCAATTTTTCCACCTCTAAAATTGAGAATGTTAACTCCTACCTTAAAGTTACAAGGTTTGGAGATTACATAAATAAAGAAATCTAAAAGTGTCTGCCACTACCAATAAATGGCAGTGACTAATATGATTCTAAAGTATGTGCCTTGGTGAGTCCAGGGACAGTGACTCGCTTGTTCTTTGTTGTATTTCCAGTGCCTAGAAGAACACCTGGCATATAAGCTTCAGCCTGAAGCTGGGATACAGATATAAGGAGAAAGAAGCTCAGCGGAGAGGGGAGGAAGAGCAAGAGTGAATTCAAAGAGAGACACACTACTGCTCAGAACTGGAGAACTGAGAAAAGGGACAGTGGAACAGAGGCGTGGCCAGAGGGAAGGAGAGGACTCTCTCCGCTCCAAAGCCATAACCAGAAGGGAAGTACTCACATCAGGCTGCAGTCTCTTGGCCCGTCGGCCATAGCTGTTGAACTTGGAAGGCTGCACAGACTGTCGCAGGGGAATGCTGTGGGGTTTGTATTCCTTGTCCTTCTCCTCATTATCAAATGGGCGCGTGTTGCACTGCTGGTGAGAAGTAAGGAGTAGAGGTCAGGGCATGGGGTCCCAGCCCCCAACAGCAAGGACTTCCTCTACCCTTACCCAGTGGCAACCGAAGCTGTGGTTGCACCTCCCTAACCCGCATGTCAGGTCCTGCTCCACTGGTGTTTACCACTGGCGCCGGCATACCCTCTGGGAATTCTTCTCATTCTTTGCTTATGCTATTCTCCCTTCTAGCCACCTCCCCGCAACCATCTCCCCAATTAAATCAGATTCCATCTTTTCCCAGACCTCTCCAGCCCAAAAGATCTCTCCCTCCTCTGAATTCTTTTATCTGTTAAAACCTTGTCACATAACAGATAGCAGGCTGGCCATTCGGATAACTCCAGGACTTTGACCCTGGGCAGTGTGGGGAAAACGGCACCACTGGAAAAGAGTGGAGTTTAGCTTCCAGGTCTCTAGTCCACTGAACCAGTTTCACTAAGAGCAAGTGTGAAAATCTGTGTCTGAGGGGGAAGCCTCCTTCCACCCCGGCCTGGCATCCTTACCACCAGGTTGGCTCCAGACTGGTACATCTCATAGGGGTAAACGATGCGTTCATAGTGGGAGCGTAGCAGGGAGCCAATGTTTTTGCCTGGTGGGTAGTTGAGGCGCTGGGCCACCCGGGCCCACCGACGGTCCTTGCAGATGGCTTCATAGCCACCTTCCTCCACCACGATCTGCAGGGACAAGCAGGAAGGGACGTGGAGGTGCTGTGTGTATGTACATGAGGGAGCAGGCCTGCAGGAAGGGCGAGGAGGACAACTCCAGCCCCTCACTGCGTTGGGGGCTACCCCTCCTCCTACCGCCACCACGAAGACTCAAATTGCAGCAAGAGGTGCCCAGAAGTTCTGCTGATAGCGTATGTGTTACCAGGCTGTGCCCCTTCCATTGCAGCCTAGAGATCCAATATCCAAACGAAAGGAACCCCCAGAATACCAAGGATAGTAAGGTACGGGGTGAGGAGGGGGTCTGAGAAAAACCTGCTCTTACTTTGCTGAGGCTGTAGAGGTCCAAGATCCGCCGTTCCACATTGGGAATCTTCAAGGAGGAGCCCTGGATTTCCCAGAATTTGGCAATCTGGTCCAAGTAGTTCAGTTTCACTCTCGTCTGGGCCTGGAAAAGAAATGGCTCAAGAGGCTGACCCTTCACCTGACTCCTGTCTTCTGATCTAATCTTAGGGGAGGGAGGGTACAGAGCAGCCCACTACCTAGGGCCCAGTGGATCTCAAACTCTAAGCAGTGGTGAGCCCACTACTCGCTCATCTCTGCCACCTTCTAGTCAACAGGATAAGCCCCAGGTCTCAAAACGGAGAGGGTCGGGTCACAACAGCCAAAGCTTTACATACTCTCTTTCTCAGTGTCCTTGACCGGGCTGGATGAGTAGCATCATCTCTTCTACAGAGAACCCGTGTCCTCAAGTCACACAGCAGGTACCAAGAGATCGAAATGTCAGTATGATGATAAAGCACACGCCCCAGAGGGGGGGCAATTTGATTTTTAAGGGGGGCAATTCGAGAAAGAGTTAATGGTGATATTTTTTGCATTTCTTATGGTTCTAGGGGCCTCATATACAGTATATAAATATATAGTATGACATATTTATGCACTTCAGTTCTCTATTATGTTCCGAAACTTTGCTATTTTTTCATATCATTTCATATTATTATTATTTTTTTTAACAATTTCTTAGTGATTTCTTCCTCAGTACTTCAACTACGCTTTTGTTCTTTGATTTTTTCTCTTTCATGGATGCCATGTTCTTTGGAAGCTTGTTTAGACCAAGTTAATGGCCTTTTAGGCTTCCTCCATGTGAATAGGAGTTTTTTGTTGTTGTTGTTAATCCTCACTTGAGGATATTTTTCCATTGATTTTTAGGGAGAGTGGAAGAGAGAGGGAAAGACAGAGAGAAACATCGATGTGAGAGAAACACATCAATTGGTTGCTTCCTGCACGCACCCCAACAAGGGCTTGGGCCAGGAAGGGGCCTGCAAGCAAGTTATGTGCCCTTGACCGGAATCAAACCCGGGACCCTTTGGTCTGCAGGCCAACGCTCTATCCATTGAGCCAAACTGGCCAGGGCAGGAGTTCACTTTTTTAAAAAAATATATATTTTATTGATTTTTTACAGAGAGGAAGGGAGAGGGATAGAGAGTTAGAAACATTGATGAGAGAGAAACATTGATTCAGCTGCCTCCTGCACACTCCCTACTGCGGATGTGCCCGCAACCAAGGTACATGCCCTTGACCTAAATCAAACCCTTCAGTCCGCAGGCTGACGCTCTATCCACTGAGCCAAGCCGGTTATGGCAGGGGTTCACTTTTTGAATAATAAGAATTATATGTCACGGGGGAAGGGGGCATCAGGATTTTAGAGATTCTTAGGTGGGGCATGGCCAAAAAAAGGTTGGGAACCACTGCTCTAATATGTAATGTGATAAACCCCGCTACATCAGCAATCATATTGCAATATATAAATGTATCAAAGCAATACGCTGTATGTTACTTTAAACTTACACAATGCTACAATGTCAAATTTACTAAAAGAGATCTAAATGTCAAATAACAAGTTTCAGCTTTTCCCCTGCTACTGATTTGCTAAACAGCCTTGAGCAAATCAATTTTACTCTCTGGATCCCCATTTTCTTTTTTTTTCTTTTTTTCTTTTTTTAATATATTTTATTGATTTTTTACAGAGAGGAAGGGAGAGAGATAGAGAGCCAGAAACATCAATGAGAGAGGAACATCGATCAGCTGCCTCCTGCACATCTCCTACTGGGGATGTGCCCGCAACCCAGGCACATGCCCTTGACCGGAATCGAACCTGGGACCTTTCAGTCCACAAGCCGACGCTCTATCCACTGAGCCAAACCGATTTCGGCTGGATCCCCATTTTCTAATTACAAAAGGGGAATAAGTGCCCAGTCCACTCACCCCAGAAGGATGGACTTATGAGAGGAACAATGAGGCCCTCTGGAAACTCCAGAATTTCATCTAAGCTCCAGGCATGTTCAGAGAATGAAGGTTCCAAAAGAGCAACTCACATTTTCGTATGCACCATGAAACTTGTCCCATGGTAGCTTAAGGGTGAGAGTGCACGCCAGAGACAGAATGGCCTAAACAACTGAGAGATGCCCGGCCAGCATGGCTCAGTGGTTGAGCATCAACCTATGAACCAGGAGGTCACGGTTTGACTCCTGGTCAGGGCACATGCCTGAGTTTCGGGCTCAGTCCCCAGAGGGAGGCGTGCAGGAGGCAGCCGATCGATGTGCCTCTCTCATCGATATTTCTATCTATCGCTCTCTCTCAAATCAATAAAAATATATTTTTAAAAAAATGTTAACTGGGCCAAAATGTCAATAGAGTCAAGGTTGAGGAACCATGGTCTAGAAAACAATGGTCTAGGTCATGGGTATTCAGTTGGGTCTAATATCCCCCCAGGACATTAGTAAGGCCTGTGGATATACAACTGTTATTTTTGGAGGGGCGGTACCATATTTCTCACCTCCATCCTCCATGGGAAACTCCAGGATCTTACCTGGAACTGGCTTCAGGACAACTATTCTCATTTATCCTTGGACAGTCTCAAGCCCTTAGGGGAAACCTCACCTACCATGCAAAGGGCCTGGACTTCCTGTACAGAGCAAAAGGCACAGGGAAAAGACTACCTGTCTGACCCACTGCCCCAATCTGTAACCATTCTAGCCTCCACACAGACAGGTTTTTGTGTTGTTCCCACCCATCGCCTCATCAAGCACCATGGAAGGAAAGCAGGAAGCACAGGGCTGTGAATGAATTGGCCAAGCAAGAAAGGGTCTCAGTCAGCCCCCACACTTCCCTCTTGTTGAGCCAGGTAGGGTCGGGGATTGGCAGGGGAACTTCAGAAGTAGCAAACCCTTATGAGAAAGGGATATCCCCAGCCTTTGGGCCACCAGATCAGAAGTGCTCAGTGCCCATGTTCTTGATTATATTCCAAGCCCTAAAGCTTCCTCCATGCAACTTCCCAGGAGAGAAAATAAAGACCTAGTCAGTAATGTATCTTAGCCAGAGAAGGTATGAGGGAAGTGGGGCAGAGCTCAGGTAGCCCTTCTGCCAACCCCACCACCCCACCAGCTGTTAGTCTTCTCACCTCTAGTTCATTCAGCCTCTGGATTCGGGGAGTAAATCTGAAGTTGTCCACTTCTACAGCAAAGGGTGGCTGCCAGTCCTGAGCGGGCACAGAGGGGAAAGGGAGTTGGGTTATTCCAGCAAGACCAGAGGGCACCAAAAGCAGCTCAACACCCCATTTGCACCTTCCCAGACCTTTTAACCTGCAAACACCCAACCCACTACACCACACACAGAACTCACAGCAGGACCTTAGCAGCCCCTAAAGTTCACACCCAGTGCCCCATGCACAGGCCCTGGGAAACTTCTCCCAGTCCCTCCCAACAGTATAGTGTGCTAGGATTTCAAGAAAGTGAGAGATGGAGCCCCAAACAGTTGACCCCAAACTGTCCCTATACCCACATTAACCCTTCACCCCCTAGGCATGTGTTGTAGGCCACTCAGTCCAAAAGTACTGGAAAGCACACAGGATTTGGAGTCAGAAGACCTAGGTTCACGTTCTAGCTCCACTACTTACCAGCTATAGGATTTTACTTGTCTGTACATGTTTTCCCATCTGTAAGGCAGGAATATGAACTCTTGCCCTAGCTTCCTCACAAGACCAAAATGGCAAATTAAAGTGGTTTTCAAATGAAAATGTTCTTCAAAGATGCCATCATGAAGATCTGACATCTAAGGCTGACGTCGCCAACCAGTATACATGAAGGGTAGATCGGCTCTGATTCGGGCAGGATTTAAAGGTCTGGGCCTTAATGTCTGTTTTCTCAGTTTAAAGGGCCCAAGGGCACTGCAAGGAACAGGGAGCAAGAATGTGCATCACTCACCTAGAAGGTTCCTTGGGTCCTCTATCAAACACCTGCCTGGTGCAGGAAGAGGCAGGGGAGGAAGCCCGGGGGTGAGAGAGGGTGTAAGTAAGTGCAGGGATACCCAACTATGGTGGCTGAGTGTGGGAGGTGTTAGGGAGGAGAAGGGAAGCCAGAGAAAGATAATAAAAGTAGGGAAGGCTCTGCCCTGCCAAGTTGGAGCTTGTTGTGTCCTGCCCAAAAAGTGGCTGTGGAGAACCCTCTCCCCAATGCCCTCCCATACAGTCCTCTCCTCCCCGAAGCCCTGGCTCCTGCTGGGGTGGTAAAAAGAACCCAGAAGAGCCTAGACCAATGCCCTCATTTTAGGAATGGCAAAGAACTGTGATTTCTCCAAAATCACGTGCTGGGTTAGTGGTAGACGCAAGACTAGAATCCACGTCTTCTGACTGCCAGTCCAAGGACCTTTGCACTCCACCAGGCTACCACTGTTCGTATACACATGCCTACATATGGAAGTGGGGAGAGGGACAGTAAAAGAAAAGACTGTTGGCCTCTTTTGCACACATACTTTTAGAAAAGGGGCCAGGGGCCTCATACTTGCATCCACGCATATTCCCCCCCCCCCCCCACCTCCAAGCAGGTAGCAAACACCTGGGGCTCAGTAAAGCAGGGGCAAAAAAAAAAAAAAAAAATTAAAAAGAGGCTAAAATGTTATGGCTCAAGCCCAGATAAACTCCCATGCCCTCTTGCCTCCCATTAGCAGGGCATTCTCCTCCACGTAGGTAACCCAGGCTCAAACCCCACACTCCAGGCACCCTTCTTTCCTGCTGAATTGAGTTCTAGATAAGAAAAAGCACCATCAAGCAAACTGACAGGAAATGGCAGAACCGAAATTCTAGAGCAGGAGCTGTGGGTGCAACAGATAGCGGGGGGAGGTCCAGCAAACCTCTCTGACTGGCTCTTCCTGGGACCTATGAGCTCCCTCACTTTGCCTTCAGTCCCACACTCCCGTATGCCAAACACCCAGTATGTCAGGATTCTCGGGATGGTGCTGAAAAGGTTGGCTCCCGGATGCAGTAAGCAATGTCCTTTCAAGCTCCCCTGGGTCTACTCCAGGGTACCAACACTCTCCTCCAACCCATCTTCCCCCAAAGTAATGGTTACCTGTCAAGCAATTCAGAACCCAAATCACCCTTCCTCAGGCAAATCTCCACTTCCAAGCGCCCACCCGTACACAGGCTCCCACCCTGGGCCCAAGCTCCACTTGGGCGAGTGCTTCAAATTCCAGCCAGAAGGCTTGGCTGCCTAAAGATGGCCTAGGAGCAGCCCTAGAGGAAGGAAAAAACCCCAAAACCAAAACAAAAAAACACATGAACAAAACCAGAGTCAGGTCTCCTGAATTGGGGAGCAGCACACTGCTGAGGTACAGGAGAGAAGCATAACAAAGAACACCCCCCCATGCCACCCACACACACACTAGGGACATGTCACTTTCCCCCTTCCTAGTCTCCCCCTGCCCCCCTCCCCCCAAGGAAGGATAACAACACCTGTACAAGGCCCGGCTGCCCAGATAAATCCAAGACAGAAAAATGGAAATTCAGGCCTCAACCACCCGCTTCGTCAGAGATTGCCTCGTTGAGGCTGCCCAACACTCCTGCTTCTCCTTTCTGGTAGCCTTCCTGACCTTTCCCTCCTCATGGCCACTCCCTCACCATGGCCAAGGATACCTCAGAGATCTGTGGCCAGGCTCCAACAAGGAAGAAATTCGTTTACCCAACACCTCCCAGAGGATCCATTTGAAACCAGCCTAGATCTGTGGCAGAGCACCAGAAAACACCGAGTTGAATAAGAAGGCCTGTGGTGCCCTCCTCAGGTGGCAGTGCGACTTCCCAACCCGTTTCAGCCAGAGACACCCACTCAAAAACACCCTATTCCAGATAAACTGAATTCCTGCCCTTAGAATCCCAAGGGGTGACTGAACACACACATCATCATTTCTCCTCCATGCCAGACTAGCCCAGCCCTTGGGGGACTTCTCCTGGCCTGAAGCCAGGCCTAGGAGCAAAGATATGCCCTTTGTCGCTGACCTCTGGGAATCAAGTGTTCCAAAGGAGGCAGGCTTCCACAGTTCCATTCTGTGTGGGAGTCCAAGAATACCCTATCCTCTGGGACCTCCTACATCCTGGGACACAGCAGAGTAGAGATCCTCTGAGAAGGACTCATACCCCACCCCCAAGCCGACTGGTCCAAGCCTCTCCATAGAAGTCAAGTCTGGGGAGGGGTGATGTGCAGGAAAGGCCCGGATGGTGCTGTCAACTAGGAAAAGGAGACAATTCCCTGAACCCACCTCAGGGGAGCCAAATAAAGCATCCCCCATGAGACTGATTCCCAACTGGGCTACCAGGCTGGGATATGATCATAGATGGATTCGCCTGGCAGGGTGTGAGTAAATATGAGTCAACTCACATAGGAGCAAACCAATGACTACATCAAACACCTTCGCAGGCACAATAATTACCACTTATGTAGTGCCTACTACACATCGACGCTATCTAGTTTAATTGAATTTCTGAAATAACTACTCATAGGGCTCCTTTCACAGACTTGGGGAGATTATGTTACTTGTCCAAGGTCACACAGCTGGGAAGCTGCGGAGTGGGGTTTTGAACTTCGGCCTGTCTCCTTTCAGACCTGTGATCTTCCCACTACGACACACCGCCTGCCTTAAGAGAAGTGATGACAGTAGATGGCAGAAAGGCCTTATTTAGAGCAGCCTTGACCTGGGTAGGCCGGGGTAACTAAGAGATGTGCGTGCGCCTCCCTGTGAACTCTCCCCGGCCGCCTAGGCATCCCTGTCTGGACCCTTACCCGGGTGATTCTGAAAGGCGAGATGGGAGTGGGTGTGGGTTTCTGAGCCCAGGTCACTTGGGGGCCTCACATCACGAGGACTCCTGGCCCCAGCATCCTTCCTCCGACCCGCGCCGCATCCACAACGGTCCCAGCCACCCCATTTCTCCCCATCTCCGGCTGCCCTGCGCCCAAGACTCCCCCGCTGGCTACCCTAGTTTCTCATCCCCGGCCACGCCGCCGGGGACCACCGACTCCGAGCCTTACCGCGGGTGGGCGGATCTTGCAAATGCCGGACTTCTCGGCGATGGGCCTGATTTTCGCGATGTAGCCAAGAGGGTCTCGGAACTCGGCCCAGCTAGGTTCGAACACCGGGCACTCCGGCGGCGGGAGGAAGTCGTCAGACCCCGGCTCCATGGTGGACCCTAGGACTGGAGGGCTCGGGTAGCCCTTAAGGACTCATGGCGGATGCCGCTGTATGAAACCGAGGCACTGCTCGGAGACTAGGCCCTAAGCGGGGCAGCCGCCGCCCGCCGGGGGCCAAGGGGGCGTGTTGAGTGCCGCGCTCTGAGAGGCAAAGGCTGGCCCTCCTGCTGCCGCCTCTCAATCCTGCTCGGTTCCTTCCAAACTCTGCTGCTGCCTCCCAACTCCCGCAGCCTTCACCACCACAGTTACCTCCCAACCGCCGCGGCCTTCACCGCTGCCGCCGCCATCTTGGTTTGTCAGCGTCCTCCCCCTTCCCACACCACAACAAACCGGATCCCTCCGCGGGGTGGTCCTCCGACCCTCGTATAGTTGGTATGAGGCCGAGCCCTAGGAAGCCTTCAGCCCGTGAGGACCAAGCAGAATCGGCAGGCGTGCGTTTCCTATTTGGAAGCGGGAACTCAAAAGTAGCTCCCAGCCTGGGGTCAAATAGTTCTTCTCAGCGGCGGAGGAGCAAAATTGTAATTAACATGCCGGATCCTTTTTCCGGATGGACCAGCGGTGCACGTTTAAAGGCCAGTGGTGCGCATGCGCGTTATGAAGACAGACCGGAAGAGGAGCAGGGGTTGGTGGGCGGTAGGCTGAAACTAACACCCCCTCCTTCTATGACCTCAGTCCTGGAGGGAGCCCCGCCCCAACATTCTATCCTCCTTGGTCTTTACGTCGTGAGCCATAGCGAGCGACCTCTTTTGCTAGCCTGCAGTTTGGGGCGAGATGTAAGGAGTTCCCAGTTCTAGGTACTGATACCTAGAGCTTTGAAGGAAGGAAGGCAGAAGGCTGCTCACTCCCCAGGGGTTATGGATTTTTAGAATCCTGGGACCCAATGAAAGGAAGGAAATATTTATTTCATCCAAGGTTATGCATAGAGTCGTCTCTAAGATGGGGCTTCCATTCTTACCCCCAGAGTCATTGTCAGCATTTTAATGAACACTTTCCACTGTTCTGTATGCTCTTTTATTGTGTGCACATTTGTGGTATGTACTCCTACAAAATAAGCCTGTTTATATTTTGACTACTGTATATTTAGCAACAGCATATTTATCCCCCATCAGCCCCTCTCATATGAAACACTGTGCATTTGTGAGCCTACAGTGTACTTACCAAACATCCGTGTTCATGGATTGTATTTATGGTGTATAGCCCCTGTCATATGAGTCCCTAGTGTATGTATATCTACTTCTATTGTGTACATGTTCATTGAGCAGTTTCTGAATAGGTTTATTGTAACTACTTCAAATGAGTGCTTTGCCCATACGTTAGGCATCTACTGATCTACTGCATTTGAGGATCGTCTTTGTTATTCAACAGTTGTGGGCCTGCTGCATACAGTTTGAACATCTGCTGTGCACATATCAGAGTACTTGTATACATGCTAATTAAGTGCTTATTTTTTCCCCCCAATCAGACTCAATTCCTTAAGGCATGGACAATGTTGCCTTATACATTCTTAACACTTGGCATGGTAAGCAATAAATTAATGTTGAGTAAACGAAAGAAAAATGAATATATATTTTTGAGCAGTTTTATAAACTCTTTGCAAACATTTTGTGTATACTGTATTAAGCATCTGCTATACAGTTGAGTATGTTTGAAGGGGGTAGGAAGTGTCATTCCTTCATTAAGTTAGTTGTTCATAATCACATACCATGTCCCAGTTATGCACATCACTCTGCCTGCTTCAGGACTGGGCTCAGAACAGCAGATCTGCAGGAGTAGGGCACACTGGTAGGAGCTCCACTCTGGGGTCAGACAGGGCCAACTTCTAGTACCACCAGCTCTCTGCCATTTTCTAATTATGTGACCTCGGGCAAGTCCTAACTTGTGAAACAAATGAGGATTATAATACCTACCTTTCAGAACTATTGTACAGTATCTGGCACATAGAAGGCCCTTGGTATGTGTTGACTGTTATTTTTATTTCTGAAAGTCAACAACCAATATGTCAAATCTCATTAAGAATCTCTTTTGTTCCAAGCATTGTGCCTAGTGATTTCATATATTTATCACCTAAATCCTTATATTACCTTGAATGTTTGGAATCTTTATCCTCACTTGGCTTGTGAAGAAACTTGTTCTAAGTAATACAAATAGAAAGTGACATATTCCTAGTTTTCTAGGTGTCAAGAGGAACCTCAGCCCCTTTCTTCCAGAAATACAGGTGAATGACCCAAATGGACAACTGTCTGGATGAGAAATAGAAAGCTAGGGAAAATGATGCTAATAACAGCAAAATCACTAGCCTCTCATATGTGTAAGCATCGAACAGCCCACATAGCTCTTTCATACCAATTATCTCCCTTAATCTTTGCAACAGTCTTGGGGAAGATCTAAGTCAATTTACCCATTTTGTAGATGAGGAACCATGTTCCAGAAAGATTGAACAATTTGCCCACTGTTACACAGGGAGTTGTCAACTCCTGGTCAAATGTTCTTCCTGTCATTTGCTCTCACTAGAAATAGAACTGGGCAAGAGAAGGGTGAAGAGAATGAAGAAGGTAGGAGAATATGCTAAATCCTAGGCTGAAGGAAGTTCAGCCTTTCCTCCTGGAGGCAGGCAGCTCAGTGAAGGACAAAGAGCATCGATCAGGAGTTTGGGGACCAGGTTTGATCCAATTCATTCATTCATAAATATTTATTAAATTCCTACTATGCACCAGGCATTTTTCTGGGACCTGGAAATATAATGGTGACCAGGACAGTCATGGTCCCTTGCTTTCCTGAAGCTGACAATCACCCACTGAGATCTTCCAAGTACCTTACCTCCCTGAGCCTTGATTTTCATATTTATCCAATGAGGGGCTATAATTCCCTCATCACAGGGTAGTTATGAAGATAGAGATATGATGACTGCCAGTCATCAAGGGCCAGGTGCTATGAAATAGGTATTGTTATCTGTGTTTTACAGATGAGGAGACTGAAACTCTGGGAAGTATAAACGTACCCAAGTCACATGGCTAGTAAGCGACAGAGCCAAAATTCAAACCCAACTCTGTCTGACATACAATTCTGCCTGTAAAAGTCTCAGATGGTGCTCCCCCCTGCAACACACACAGTAAGGTGTTCATGGAATGGGAACTGCTCAGTTAAGAACTGGGAAGCACCAGGGAGCTCACTTTGCAAAAGTCTTGGGAAATATATGCCAATTTATCCATTTTGTAGATGAGGAATCATATTCCAGAAAGATTGAACACCCTAGGAGAGAGGGTCTGTGATTAGAAGGATTGGTGGGGCTCTCACTCACCCTACGCATGTTTTCGGAATGAACTGGATGAGTGTGATGTTGTGCCTCACTTTTTTGATTTGTAAAATAAGGTCACTTCCAGTTCTGAAGTAGGTGTCAGTTGTGAGTTCTGACTCTAAAAAGAGTTCTGGAATCCATCCCCTGTCACCATGTCATTTTCTAATCTACTCCTGTGAGAGCCATTTACTATCTCTAGCCTATATTAAAAGAGCCTCCTCAAGCTTATCAAGGCATCTGTGTGAACTCATATATATATATATATAAACTCTCTCTCTCTCTCTTCTCTCTCTCTCTCTCTCTCTCTCTCTCTCTCTCTCTCTCTATATATATATATATATATATATATAATGTGCTTAATACATACATATAGCAATAAAAATATATATTTAAAATGACAATTCTATGTCCTAACCGGTTTGGCTCAGTGGATAGAGCGTCGGCCTGCGGACTGAAAGGTCCCGGGTTCGATTCCGGCCAAGGGCATGTACCTGGGTTGCGGGCACATCCCCAGTAGGGAGTGTGCAGGAGGCAGCTGATCGATGTTTCTCTCTCATCGATGTTTCTAGCTCTCTATCCCTCTCCCTTCCTCTCTGTAAAATATCAATAAAATATATTAAAAAAATATATATATATATACAATCTCTATAAAAAAAAACTTATCCTATAACATTTAAAAAAAAATAAAATGACAATTCTAAATGAATTACAATAGTAGTAGGTTATAACTCATTGACTAAAATAAAAAGCCATAACTCCACACTTATATAAATAAATCAAATGAGGGAAAAGGGAAAGCTCTTTTCTTCAAGGAATGATGGAGTTAGAAAATCGTCAATAGATGCTCAAACTTTTTTCAAATAAAAAAGCAAACTCTTAAAGCGGCTATAACACCTAGTGCCCAAGTATTGGTCCCTAAGTGCCATTCTTAATCCAAAGAACCAGGACTTCTTGGAAAAAATGCCTGATGCCAGGGTTGGAGCAGGGAAAGTACAAGACGGGCCTGGAACATCTTGTGGTGCCAGAAAACAGCAAGTGTTCGAGGAAAGATGAGGATCTGCCAAAAGGACACAGGCGCCAGCTTGGAGCACCTCTGGATGGCCAAACCTGGGATATATGAGCATCAAAATAAAGAATGGCATGAATGGGTTATATATAACCCATTGAGTAAAATAGGCAACCACGAGTCCATGAGGATATAAATAAATCAATGTAGGAGAGGGGAGAGTTCTCCGTTATAGTGGAAAGCCAACTAATACAAGTAAAAAGAATGATGGTATTTGAAAATCACTATTTGGCTACCTGGAGAATCATCCGTAAATGCTAAAACTGGTGGGTGAAAGTTTGAGGAGTAATAGGATATTTACATAGTTTCAATACATCTCTCCACAAGATGCTCATCAATTACAAAGGGGAAAATGGTGACTTGGAGACACTATGTGGCCCAATGTATCACCTTACTTTAGCTCCTACTGAGGCCCAGGTGAGAAAACCTGTGGCAACAGAGGAATGAAGATACATGGACTGCCCACCTCTGTGCCGTCATCCCGGAGCTGCCCTCTCCTGTTTCTTTTTTTTTTTTTAATATATTTTATTGATTTTTTACAGAGAGGAAGGGAGAGGGATAGAGAGTTAGAAACATTGATGAGAGAAAAACATCATCCAGCCGCCTCCCACACACCTCCTACTGGGGATGTGCCTGCAACCAAGGTACATGCCCTTGACCGGAATCGAACCTGGGACCCTTCAGTCCACAGGCCGACGCTCTATCCACCGAGCCAAACCGGTTTTGGCTCCTGTTTCTTTCTCATTGTTCCACCGATACATTGCAGACTCCCACACCTCCATTCCTTTTCATATGCTGCTCCCTCTGACAAATGCCCTTCTTTCCCAGGCCAATTCCTACTCATCCTTCAAAATTCAGTGAAAGGGGCAGTTCTAGAAACACTTCCTTGACCCACTCTACCCCACCCCAAGTTGGGTTTGTCCCTTCTTTGTGCCCCCATGCATGCTGTGCTTACTTCTGGGCCCGTATTTATTATTTTGTATTGACATAGCCCC